AGGCTTGAAGATGAAGACTGATGCTTGCTTGAAGCCTATAGAGGGTTGAAGATGACTTGAAGACAGATGTTGACGAAGCCTGCTGTTTGTTGTTTGTCTTTTGCTGCTTATAATTTTTGATGTATTGTCTGAATTTCCCGGACTGTATTGCTTGCTGTTTAACCTGTTAGGTTGAAAGTGAATTCTGTTCACTTTTGCCTGTTGTTTTCTAGGTTCGAGGTTGAGTGGGACTCCCTTGCCTCGCTTGTATTGCTGCATCCATGCATTTTACTGCTTTCTTGTATATATTCTTTTGTTTCTGTTTCCATCTACTCCCTTAGGATCTCTGTTTCTCTCTGCGCAAGAGAGGAGCATGATAGACATTAGGTCTTAACCCATGCATGATAACATTAGGTTAGTTTGATTCCCTTTTCAACCGTAGGTTAGAGTTCTGTCTCTTCTTTCTCAAAAACAAACAGAAAAACAGAATAAATATTTCAAACACATTAAAAGACACTTCTTCCGTAAAAGAATGTGAACTCATCAAAACGTCATTTCGTCCGCTTGGACCAGTAATCAGAAAAACCCTTTTTCAGAAGGAATAAAAACAATCAAGACAGACTTGTGTCGTACGTGGCCCGAACTACGTTTGCTCTGATCTTTCATGCTGTATGAAAGTACGTAGGCATAGGATGAGATATCCTAGCGAGCAACCTTCCCCTCCTTTCCCGTAGGTAGGCGAACTACGTTGACTCTGATTTCTCGTTCCAGACGGGAATACGTAGGCATAAAGTGCGATACTTTGCCGAGTCATTTTATTTTCTTTTTAACCCCAGACCTTTAGTTTAGATAGAAATAACAATCCGTACCCGAAAACAAGCGTGGATCCCGTCGAGTACGACGGACGTGAGGGGTGCTAATACCTTCCCCTTGCATAACCGACTCCCGAACCCAGGATTTGGTTGTGATGACCATTCCTTTCCCCGTTTTGCGGTAGGTTTACCTCGAGCGTTTCCTTTCCCTCCGTTGGGATAAATAACGCACGGTGGCGACTCTTCTGTTCAGCCGGCGCCGATTTTCGCAGTAGCGACACACTAGAGGCTGAGAAAAGAATGCCTTTTGCTGGAACAAATTTAAGGCATCTCATCCTTGTGGCGGCTTGATAATGAGGAACAAGAGGTTTAAAAACATATTGACTTAAATTCTACACAACATAAGAAATATCAGGCCTGCTATTTGTCAGGTAGCTAGGAGGATGAGAAGTTCTTGTGGAATTTCTCAAGGAAGGCTGATGTTGAGGAGTGGATTGAGGAGATGTATCAGGTGCGACAGTATCATTATTAATACTGTTGGGTAAGGGAGTAGATTGATCCATGGCTGGACTATTAGGTAATGCATGTTCAGAGATGGTACTAATAGGTGTAGGCAGAGTAACAGGACTACTATTAAATGAAATAAGTTTTGAGAGGGGCCAAAAGTAGTGTGATCAGGTTTGTTAACATCATGTACAGTAGACAAGTCAATACTATCAAAAGAAATAAGGTTTTGATAGGGGCCAGGGGTAGTGTGATCAGGTATGTTAGCATCAGGTACAACACACAAGTCATTGTCCATAGGAAAAAGGCTATGATCAGTAGGTGCAGAAATGTCACGAAAGGGTTCGGGAGTTGGACTATTTTGAACCTGGGAAGGTGTGTGGGAATGGTTCTAATCTTTGAAAGGAAATATATTTTCATAAAAGATAACATTTCTTAACATAAAAATATTGTGGTGAGTTAAGTCATATAGTATATAGCCTTTGGTTTCTTCCTTATAACCAAGAAATATAGCCTTTCTAGCTCTAGAATCAAACTTGGTTCTATGAGCCATTAAAGTGGATGTATAACATAGGAAGCCAAATACCTTAAGGTGTATTAAAGATGGAGGCTCCTGGTATAAGACTTCATGAGGACTTTTGTATTTCAGTAAAGGTATTGGGAGCCTATTGATAATATGGATAACATGCTGAACACAAAAATTCCACATATTCAAAGGCATATTAGAATGGAAATGTAAGGACCTAGCTACATTAAGGATATGTTGATGCTTCCTCTCAACTAACCCATTTTGTTGAGGGGTTTCAACACAGGATTTCTGGTGCACTATACCCTTAGACAACAAGAAACTATGTAAGGCTAGGAACTCTGCTCCATTATCAGACCTTAAACACTTTAGGGATTTCTTAAATTGTCTTTCAACATAAGTTATAAATTGTATAAGGCTCTCTTTGGTTTGATCCTTAGATTTAAGACAAATCACCCAAGTATACCTAGAATAATCATCTACCAGGATGAGGAAATATTTGTGTCCTAATGTAGATATGGTGGAGAAAGGACTCCACAAGTCAGCATGTATTATTTCAAACACGTCATTAGAACAAGTAATGCTATTTGGAAAGGGAAGTTTCCTTTGCTTAGAAAAATGGCAAGAATCACAAGGTAAAAAATTATTTTTACGTGAAACATAAGGAAATTTTTTAGCAATAGCTTGTAAACCTATATGAGATAAATGGCTTAATCGCATATGCCAAATGTTACAAGGATTATTAGAAACAGAATTACAAGTGGAGTGAGATCCAATAGAATCAAGAACATACAATCCATTTTGTAACTCAGTTATACCAATTGTTTCCTTGGAAGGGTTATGTATAATGGAACATGAATTAGTAGTTAATTGTACATAACAATAATTACTTTGGGATAATTTGGATATAGAAATAAGATTGACATTAAAGAAAGGAATGTAAAAAAGATTATGCAGAATTAATGAAGGTGTAATGGTAACAGATCCAAATATGGATGCAAAAAGCTGAGAACCATCAGGCAGAGTTACAGAAATGGGAACTATAGACCTACAATTAGTGAAGGCTGAAAGATTAAAGGAGATATGATATATGGCACATGTATCTAAGATCTAAAGATAAGGAGACTTACCATTGGCATTTGAAGAAAGGGAATTCAGCACAAGAGGAGAAGTAGAGACAAAATTGGATGTGGAAGAAACTTTGGATTGTTGTAGCAGTGCAAGAATGTTGTTGTATTGCTCTTGAGTAAAATCATAAGAGAATGTAGTAGAACCTGTTGTAGGAGTTTCTGAGGCATTGTTGATGGTTGCAACATGTTGAGAAAATGAGCCACTACCTTTGCTTTTGTTGTTGAAGCCTCGTGGGTAGCCATGCTTGATTAAACAAGTATTAATCGTATGGTTTGTTCTTCCACAATGAGTACAAACCCAATTTTGACCTCTTGAACCACTAGCACCTTGATATTTTCCTCTGTACTAATTAGGTTTACTAGGTTGAGCATCATGAGAAGCTTGAGTATTCAAGGTTATGCTTTCTTCATTGTTGCGAATAATAGGCATAATGGCATAAACAACATTATTCATCTCTTTTTCTTGCTGAATAACCAAAGAGAAAGCTTTATCAATGTCAGGTAAAGGATTCATCATCATAATCTGACTCTTGGAATGTGTGAATTTCTCATTCAAACCCTTAAGAAAACGTATCACATAATCTTGTTTCCTATAACAAAGAACAGACGCGATAGCACCACAAGAACAAGGTACTGAACATGAACAAGAGGTAATTAGACGATAATTCTCCAACTCATCCCATGGAACTTTCAAATGAGTAAAGTAATTTGATACATCAAGAGTACCTTGGAGAAACTTGTACAAATCTTCTTGAATGTCAAATATGCGGAAAATGTTGTTGTGAGAAAACCTAATATGCAAATTCTTCCATACGCTGGCAACAATATCAATCCAGAGCAGCGATCTTGCAATTGATTCAGAAATCGATCATTGAATCCACGCAAGAACCATTATGTTGCATCGAATCCATGGTGCATAAAGAACATCGGAGACGGCTGGTTTGGGAAGAGTTCTGTCTATAAATTTATCTTTGTTCTTGGAGATTAACACAATTTGTATCGATCGAGTCCATGTATGATAGTTTTTGTCATCAAGCGGTGAAGGAACAAGAACGAGTGCTAGATTCTCATTTGGATGAAAATAGTATGGATTAGCAGAGTTGGTAGCGAAATCGGAAAAGCTCTAGGTAACCATTGAAGCAGAGAGAGAAAAGAGAAGACGAGAAAGAAGGATAACAATGGCTATCAGAGCTTGTTAAGCTCTGATACCATGTTAATGATGCAAGAATTCATCATAGAAAATGAGAAAGGTAGTTTCATTCAAAAAAGAAAAAGAAAGATAGTTACACTTAAGAAACAAGAAGAACAGTCATGTAATAGAATACTGTTACATTGATTACATAGAAAAGATATAAGGAGAAGTATGTTTACATTATAGCAGAAAGTATGACAAAGAAAAAAGAATTATATATTATATAAAATAACTAATCAAATACATAATACAATATCTAATAGAAATAAAAGATACTATACCTAATAGAAATAAAAGGTTATCAAACAAACCTTTTCTTAAGTATATTTGCATCTAAATGATATTATTCACGACAGTTGGAAAAAAATGCAAACCAACTTTAACCAATGTTATGTAATAAATATATAATCATTTGTAAGGGGGTTTTCTTTGCTTTCCTTCACTTAACACTTAAAAATCAAAAACATTATCTTTAAGATTACTCATTTAGGTTTCAGCTTAATAGTTGACCATAAATGTAAGCTTAACAATTACAAATTTCTTCCTTAAAAACACACATGTACCCAAAGTAAAAAATTAAATGTCAGTAGAGCTGATTTCATTGAACAACATTCACCTCAAAATTCCCTTGTATAGAATTTGGAAAATTGCCTATATATATATATATTTTACAATACAAACTAGATGGAACACTTTTTGTCAAAAACAAAAACTAATTGGACTAATTTTCTTTCCCCTACACAAATCACTAAATCACTCCGCTAAAATTTTTTTCAAAACCAAAAAATATCAAAACTATATATAAAACAACAAACAGTAATTGATACAAAAGAAAAACTATGAACAATAAGTGCGATTCAAGCGTTATATAGAGAATGAGAATCATGTTCAATGTTGCTATCTTCTTGTTTTTGAACCTTGAATTGATCAAGGCGTGTATCTCCTAATCTCAGAGAATATGCTGCTTGTTTATATTGGGCCCATGTAAAGGGCCTATATAAACTTGGGCTATGGGCCGTCACCATCTTCGGTAACGGGCTTATCAACGAACTCAGCGGCGGGGCTGCAAAGTACATCATTGACATTCTAGGCTTTGTTGTGTTTGTCAAAACTCTATGTCTCACACTCACAAATCTTCCATTTGTTAAAACCTATAAAAAAAGCACATAACAAAATAAGTATCTATTTTATAGGAAATTTAACAACGATATTACCGTCGTGATAATATATCAAATGCATATTTTATATCAGAATAAATTTAACTGAATCATAATATCACTTTGTGATACTATGATTCAGTCAAATTGACTATGAGCGAGTTGATTAGAAAGAAAGTCACCTGAAGGGCATCACCAACCATGACATAGAATTCACTGGGGTCAGGAGGGACAGGGATCCACAAACCATGGTGAGTTGAAATCTGAAGACCACCCACGTCGTTGGATCTTAAGATAGTTAAGATCTGAGGGTCAGAATGTTCTCCAAAACCAATAGTAGTATTATTATGATTGCTATTATGAATTTTGGATGGGTCCCAATTATCATTTCCTAGTTTCTTCACTGGAGGGTAGTGATTGATTCTAAGAAGTGAGTCACTATGTTCATCTTTGATAATTTTGCTGAGTGAGGACTTGTCAGGGACCCACAATCCTTCTGCTGCTAGCTCAAGAATCTCACATGTTAACTCTTTAACTGCTTTTATGTAATCATTGACGATGCAACTGAAATAAAATTGGAAGGCCAAAAACGTTACACATTTTCATATTGAGTTTTTTCTTATATCAAAAACATTACCAAAAATAAGCCGGCAAATACACGTGGAGGGTCAAATCATGTAAACATATTTCGATATTTTAATTATGGAAATGAAGAGAAAAAAGTCCTTTTATATTCTTGATTTGATTGTGTTGAACTATTGAATTTAATGGAACACGAATGAGACACGTTATACGTTATTGATTGGTCGAATTTCGTTTGGGTCAAAGGAAATGAACATGTTCTCACAAGAAATATCCATATCATATGCTAGATATTATTTTTTGACTATTAATAATTCAACCACGCAAATAAAATAAGTGAGTTTCGTTAAATTATCTTAGCTGATAGTAGTGCAGAGATATCTATGCCCTACTATTTATTGTTTTTTAAGGAATGAAATTTCAACCATTATGGTTTAATAAAAACAGATTTTATAAGACAGCTTTTAGGTAAAAAAATATTAAGTCTTTCATGCAATAGAATGTTTTTCACGTTATCAAAGACGACTCTGTTAATGTCGGTGTCGAGTTGGTTGTTCTTTAATGGTGTACACAGAAAGTCATCATCATAAAAGGAACCCTAAATGGAACCATTCTATGGCAATCAGAATTTTCTCAAGAAGTCATAGTCCAATGGACCACGAGAAAGCAACTAGTTATAGAAAAATGTATGTAAGTTGAAGCAAAAATACACCTATTAAACTTTTCAACATTAATTAAATTGTAAATTTCTGATATGATATTTCGAATATAGAGGACACATGTCCCTATCTAGGATACAAGCACAAAACACCAATAATATTATATACTTTACATCTTAAACATTTCATTTTTCTTATCAACCTTTTGAAAATGAAACATATCACAAACTGATAACAGCTTGTTCCCTACCATATTCCACTTAATTATCATTATCTATTTTATTCATTACTATTTTAGTATTAACATATATTATAATTTTTCAACACCTTTTATCATTAGGTTGTTAAGGATTATGAAATTAATTAATTGGTCATGTTAGAAGTTGTTGCAAAAAAGTTTAAAATGGAGACTTGCTAGCAGCAAACTATGAAAAATATGTTTTTTTTTAATACCTACCAGTAATAACCACTAAAATTAATTCGGAATCGTAAGTATCAGAGTTCGAATACTGATGATAAAAATATCGGTTTCTTATCTAATATTATATAATTAAAGAATTAATACCTGAACTTTATGGGGTGATCTTTTGCTATGGTTTTGGATCTCTCAGAGATTGAAAGAGGATTGGAATGAAGAAGAAGATATTCAAGTTCGCCTTTATCACCATTAGGACCAATATTTTTGCAGCCATAACCAAAAGGAGTAGAAGTACCAGCTTGACGTTTTTCCGAACAACTTTTTGAGAAAAACTCTATTCCTTCCTCATCCAGCCTAGAAATAACCTCTTTTGGTACACTATGGTTCACCACCTTGAAGAAACCATATTCTTCACAAGCTTTCACTACTAATTCCGACAACTGCGACCTTTCAACAGAAAGGTCGATCGTCGGAATTCCTACTGCTTTTGTTTTCCTGGTTCTTATGGAAGTTGGAGAAGGCACTACCATTGTTATATGTAGAAAGAAATAAGTTGTAGAGAGGATATAGATTATTGGTTGGAGGAAAGTGAGAATGTGTATAATGTATATATACACATGAGGGAGAAGGAAGAAACAGAGTAATGAATAAATATGAATATTTTATTGAAATGAATTTATTTATTATTCGAACGACCGAGATGGGGTATGGTGTGATGAAATAACAACTATATATTATATTTATATTATATAATATTCTTGTGTTTAATTTAAGAATGCGTGGACTTTTATAGACAAGACAGCAGAAAATGGGTGAAAAGGAAATGGAAAGATGAAAATTGAATAAGGAAATGAATTTGATTGAGGAAAGGAATCTCAATTGGTCTAGTCTAATTGAAATCCAATTACAGTCCATTAATCAAGATTTTAAGAAAAAATCACTCTCGAGATAAATCGGTATTGAAAGGTACTAAGTAGGGTTTTAAACTATTTGCAACCGCAAAAATTGATCCAACAATGATGGAAGGATGAAGCAAAGTAACTGTTTGTTGAAAGTTTAGAAAGAGATTGATGGTTTCTTCTTCTATTTGAGAAGAAAGAGATAAAGAATTGATATTGTAATATTTCATTAAAATGAAAAATTAATATGTCTACAAGGCATATGATGCTATTTATACATTAATAAATGTAACAACTATCGACACACAAAAGTATGACTGATTCTAACTAAAATTGAATTACTAAACCAATACACCTCCTTAATGCATTTCGTTAGATGCTTCAGCCATTCCAAGTTTCATCTTCAAGTAATCAAAGTTGCTTGACTTCAAAGGCTTTGTAAGCAAATTTACTATCTGTTCATTTGTCTTGCAATGCTACACTTCAACCTTCCATTGTTCACCTGATCTCTTAAGAAATGGAACTTGATTTCAATATGTTTACTCCTATCATGTGCTACTGGATGTTTTGCCAAGTCTATGGTTGACTTGCTATCAATTCTGAACTCCATCTTTTCATTATTTTCCAGCTTCAATTCCATCAGTAGCATGTTGATCCATTGAGCTTGACATGCCGCCGTGGAAGCTGCAATGTACTCAGCTTCACAAGAAGATAATGCAACCACTGTTTACTTTTTAGAACTCCATGAAAAAGCTGCATTTCCAATCATGAACACATAAGTTGCAGTGCTTTTCCTGTCATCTTTATCACCACTCCAATCAGAATTTGAATAGCCTACTAGATCACCATCTTGATCCTTACAGTATTGAATACCATAACTGCTTGTACCCTTACATATCTCAAGATTCGCTTAGCTGCAACTAAGTGTGAGGTGGTAGGTTTTACCATGTATTTGCTGATCAAACCTATACCATAAGCAATATCAGGTCTTGTATGGCACAAATACCTCAAAGAGCCCACAATTTGTTTGAATAAGGTTGGATTTACTTCTTTCTCATCATTTTCCAAGGACAATTTTACTCTTGTATCAACAGGAGTTGAAATTGGTTTGCAATTCAATCAACATATTAAACCTCTTCAAAATATCTTGTGCATATTTCCTTTGATGAATCACAACTCCTTGTGAATTTCTTTCAAACTCAATTCCCAGAAAATATGTGAGATTGCCTAAATCAGACATCTCAAACATCTTCATCATATTTCTCTTAAAGTCCTTCATCTCAGCTTCATTGCTTCCAATGACTATCATATCATCCACATATAATCACACAATGAGCTTATTAGTGGTATTTCTGCAATAGATTCCATGTTCATTTACACATTTCATGAAACCTTGCTGAACAAGAAAACTTTCTATCTTCTTATTCCAAGCCCTTAGGACTTGCTTCAAACCATACAGAGCTTTATTAAGCTTGTATTCCTTTCCATTTATCTCAAATCCTGGTGGTTGATTCACATACACTTCTTCTTCTAACTCACCATTGAGAAAAGCAGATTTTACATCTAACTGGTACATAGACCAATTTTTCTTGACTGCTATAGCAACAATCAATCTGATTGTTTCCATCCTTGCTATTGGAGCATAAACTTCATAGTAATCTTGTCCATACTTCTGTAGGAAGCCTCTTGCAACTACTCTAGCCTTATACTTTGCCACCTGACCATTTGGCTTCAGTTTTGTTTTGAATACCCACTTAACATCAATGCACTTCTTATCAGCAGGTAGTTGAACTGATCTCCATGTTTCATTCTTCTCTATAGAGTCTAGTTCTTCAATCATTTCTTTCTTCCAGTGTTTTTGTTTAAGAGCTTCCTCAAAAGACATTGGTTCAGTTTCAGCAAGCATTGCTAGTTGCACTATGTCACCTTCATCGGTAACTGCTTGATCAGGGAACCTCTTATAATCTGTCAACTTAGCTGGTGGTTGAGTGTTCCTTGTTGGCCTATTACTCACTTTTGCACCTCCTTCATTTGTATTCTCAATAATTTCTTATGTCTCTGAGTCAAATAGATAGAAGTGGTTGTCAAACTTATTTGATGCCTTATCTTTCTAGTTCCAACAATTTGATTCATCAAACTTTACATCTTTGCTGAACACTATTTTCTTACTACTTGGATCATATAGTTTGTAGGCACCAGTTGAGCGATAACCAATCATAATCATTACCTGAGATTTATCATCCAATTTTCTCCTTAGTTGATCAGGTACATGTATGAAACACAATGAGCCAAAGATCTTCAGATGTTGAACACTTGGTTTAACTCTACTCGCCATGCTTCTTCTGGTGTCTTGTCTTGCAGCTTCTTTGTGGGACTTCTATTGATGAGGTATGCTGCAGTAGTAGCTGTTTCACCCCACAAGTGATGAGGTATCTGCTTTTTCTTCAGCATGCTTCTTATCATAGTTACCAAGGTTCTGTTCTTCCTCTCTGAGATCCCATTGTGTTGAGGTGTGTGTGTTGTAGTGACTTCATGATTTATGCCATTTGATGAGCAAAAATCATTAAACTCAGTGGAAGTATACTCACCTCCTCCATCAGTGGAAGATGCACCTTTACCTCTTTCTTTGATCATATCATTCAACCTCAATTCATGTGCTTCAAGACTTGCTTGCAGTTTTTCTATCTTCATAGAATCTAGATCCTTAGATTCCTCTAAAGGAACCACAATGTAATCAAATCTTGGTGTTAAAGTTCTGAGAACTTTCTCAACCTTAATCACATCAGTGAAAGTTTCACCATTCCTTGTCATCTGATTTGTGAGGTTGATCACTTTATCAAAGTATTGACTGATGGTTTCTTCTTCTTCTTCCATTGTCAACACTTCATACTATCTTCTTAATGCTTGAAGCCTCACCTTCTTCAATTTACTATCCCCATAATATAATTTCTCCATTGCATCCCATGTCTCCTTTGCACTTTCATAATGCATGATCTTCTCAAAGATCTCATTACTTACACTCTGATGAATCAAGAACATGGCTTTCCCATGTTTCTTCTTCAAATCTTTATGTGTTGTTTATTGTACCTCAGTTGCATTCGCTGCTAATGTTGGTACCCTTTCATTCACAACTTCAAGAGCATCCTGGAACCTGAAGATCACTTTCATCTTTACGATCTATTGATCAAAATTCTTGCCTTTGAATACTGGTAGATGCGTGGAAATATTGTTGTTGTGAGTTGCCATTCTTCACGAATTCTCTAACAACAATGATCGAACCGGGCTCTGCTATACCAATTTGATGGAACAATGATGGAAGGATGAAGCAAAGTAACTGTTTGTTGAAAGTTCAGAAAGAGATTGATGGTTTCTTCTTCTATTTGAGAGGAAAGAGATAAAGAATTGATCTTGTAATATTTCATTGATGACTAAAATGAAAAATTAATATGTTTACAAGGCATATGATGCTATTTATACATTAATAGATGTAACAACTATCAATACACAAAGTATAACTAATTCTAACTAAAATTGAATTACTAAACCAATAAAAATGACCGTGACAAAATGGTTTTAACAGATGCTATATGGATTTATCATTGTTTTCTATGTTAAAGAATAAATTATAGTTAATTCATGACCGCAATCATTGTCGCAACATTTGTAGCGACTAAAATAGCGAAAACCTTTACGTGACCGCAATGCGACTGTGATCATTTTTTAAAGTTCTGATACTACTGATATTGATATTGTTTTCACCATTTTTATGTTGAAACATAAAATCCTTGTATGACCGCAACATAACATCGATATGACGCACTATTACTAGACGTGGAATTTTTTGAATATAAAAATAGAAAATAGAGAAAATATTTATGTAAAATATGATTGAATTCGAAAAAATCTTTACGCAACTGCAACGCGACGCGATATATGATGAAAATATTTAGTAGTAGTTGAATGATTAGTGTTAATTGTTTGAGGAGAAAGTTTTTAAGGTAGGAAGTGGCTAAAAAATTAGGTTTAGGTGAATGAAAATAGTGAGACTTGGGAACCAACTGGTAATGGCTGTCTGCACTTAATTGGTGTACCAACTACTACCTATTTTTATGTTAGAACCGTGTGGTATTCTTAAAGAAAATGTTGCTATTTGCACCTCAAAATTTGATGAATCTAACTCTGTGTCACTTACGCGTAGTGTTCTAAGTTGACGGTTTCAAATTTAATGTTTGACTCAGTTCGTACTGTAAGGTTGTTGTACTTTACAGCTCTGCATGGAATTTTTTCTATTTTAGATAGTTCTTCTGATATTTTCTAGAACACTTATTATGGGATTTTTTATTTCTATAATAGATAGTTCTTCTGATATTTTCTAGATAGAACGACTAATTTGTGCCGACATTGCCATTATTGGAATGGAACAAGATAGATTCTTTTAAGTAATGTCTCATATTTAATTCTTGGGTATAGAAAGGAAAAAAAAAAAGAGAAATTCCACTTAAATGTTGGAGTCATTCTTTGATGTTAAAATTAAGGCAAAGTTTATGAGTCAATTGCTTTTTACACCGTCTTCCTTCTTTTTTTTGTGGTTGGCATTTATAGTATGTATTTTGTTTAATTAAATTAATATA